ACTGGAGCAAGGGAGTTGTGCTGAAACAAATTAGGTCCACCGATCGCAAGGCTGCCAGAGGCTGCCGCAAATGGCTGACCCGCAAGCAATTGCTGAAGCATTTCGAAGGTGACAAAGACTTGGTTGACGGCATAATAATCCGCAAGGAGACAGATGAAGACCTGCTGCGCTCAGAAGTGAGAGACCATCCCGAATGCCCGGGCAACTTGACCCAAATACAAGCAATGAATTTAACATAATACGTTTGTTGAATTCAAAAAATTCTATCGTTTTCCGCTTTCGCAACTGATTGCATGGTCTGAGGGGTCAAGCAATACCTTGTGTTGGTGGACGACGAAGTCGTTGATGAGCACGCGGTGGAGATTTCGAATATGTTTGAAGTCCAAGACAGAGGCGCAACATCGAATGAAAGTTCGTCTTCCTCGGATTCTTCAGAGGACGAAAAAACTGGATTGACTTTTGCACATCCGATTTTGTTAGATTGTGGATGCCAGGACTCAAGCTCTACGAAGAACAAGAAAAAAGGCAAGAAGAATGACAAGAAGGCAAAGAAGGAAAAGAAGTCCTCCAGGGATTCCAAAAAGAACAAGAAAGAGAAGAACAAAACAAAGAAGAAAGCAAAGAAAAGCAAGAAAGGAAAGCAGAAGAACAAAGCAAAGGATGAGGATGAATCCAAGGAGAAGTCGCGCAAGATTGCAAGTGAAGCGAGAAAGGTCCCGTAATCATATCAACAAATTATATCAACATATTTTATACATGAATTCGTTCGTTCCATTGCGGTCTCTCGTGACTTCTGTTTCAGGCTAGGGATAATCTCAGCAAGAAGATCAAGGAGTTCAATACAAAATTGAGCATTGATGACCTGCAGAAGTTGTTCCTTGCTTGCAATTCTTGTTTACAATTCTGACGGTTTGTGGTGAAGCTTAAAAATTAAGGAGTAGCGAGCTGCAATCGGCCCTGAAGAGCGATTTGGACTCAAAGATCAAGAAGCTTACGCTTGGCAGAACACGTTTGCAAGCTGCCCTGGACTCCGGCGAGGATTTTGGTTTTCGCGAATTGCCTTAGATTCAGTATTTTAATCAAGAACTTGTCTGGGGAAGGATGATGCTATCGAGCGCTGCACAGCTGCAGCGCAAGAGCTGATTGACGCCTCTGAGCACACGCTTTCTGTAAAGCAGCCCAAGAAGAAGCAGGATTCGGACAAGTAGACGCGCAACAATGCTGGAAGCCATCCAGTTTCGTACTTCAATCCCAAATCCGAAAAACCTAAGAGGCTAGTTTATGCTCGCGCCCTCAAACTGGATGTGTATTCTGCATTGTTTTCTAGGGCGTTGCTCGGCAGTCCTGAAGAAGGATTGCTGTATTATGCCGCTTAGTTGCGGACCTCAACAACCGATACGATCCTCTGGATATTTGTTCGCCTGTACAAAGCTGCGTAACATGACTAGGTCCCTCGCATCGCCGGGGAAGGTTGTTTGCGAGCTAGAGCCTACTCGTGAGCCAGCTGCTGGCGTGACAAAAACTTGTGCGCAATCGTTTTGGACATTCCCTGCTACATTACATGTTCCCAAATTCACGAGCCCCAGGAAAAAATGTCCCTCGCAGGCAACACCTATCCGCAACATTCCTACTTGGTGGAAGAAATGGTGGATAATGTCGCGAGTGCTGTGCCTTTGCTAGCAATTCCAGTCGGAAGTTTTGTTGGTGCATACTGCTTTCATCCGTATTTGTGTGTAGGATGAGCTTGCGCGATCTGAGGGATCTTCTATTGGGAAGGAGATGCGAGCTGCCAAAAGCTCCCTTTTAGAACCTGAGCCTGCAACAAAAACATTCTTTCGGATGCACTGGTGTCTGTTTCTCTGATGCTACATTGTATATTCGGGAGTTTCCTCTTCTATTCCAACTAAGGACGGGGATTCTCAAAAACCACCGCTGCTTCGCAAACTTGGGTCCTACAGCGGGCACAACAATGCCCGCGACTTTGCTACTGCAATGAAGCTTCCTGTGGTGGGCATGTAAATTAATTAATACTTCCAAGTTCTCTTTTCAGTTATAATTTCAGCATCCGGTTATCTGTTTTGGGATGTAAATTCAGACCCTGCTAGAAGCCGGTCATGGTGAAGACCGTTGTTCGTAAACGAGAAGATTCAAGCGAAGAGATGGAAACGTCCATTCCGGTTTTGCTTCCTCACCTCATTCTTCAATACCTGTTTACTGAAGCGGGCCTGGAGATTCGACCTTCGGTGCTCAAGAAATACTGGGAACACTGCAAGGATGTTATGCCTTGGGCTACATGCTCGGACTTGGACGGCTCGCACATTCCAGTCAGTCTTTATGGGGACACAGCTAGGTACGGGCAGGGCTATGATCAAAGCAAGGTTACCGGGTTTTGGATGAGTTTGGTTTTATGGAGACCAAGATCAACGCGTGTGAGCAACTGGCTACTTTGGCGCTTGAACGCAGACACGAGTCTTGGGGCAAGATCTCATAACCCTCTGGTTCTTGCATGTGTGCAGTCCTTGAATGCTGCTTTCAATGGTGTAACCCCATCTGGAATGCCGATGGCGCACAAATTCGCGGTTACCGAGATTCGGGGGTGACTGGGAATTTCAATATCAAACTTTCCAAATGACTCGTTTCTGGAAATCGCGTTTCATTTGTTGGAGATGCGGCGCTGAAAACCATGCAAATGCCACGAACAGCTACTTGGATCTCAGGGATTCCGCATCCTGGGAAAGGACAGAGCTGACCCATGAGCAGTTTTTGGACGTGGTGGTTGGGGACAGGGATGCCAGTCTCCTGATTGCAACCTCATTCTTTATTTGATACACACACACACGTAAGAAAATAATCCCAGCCAAGTTGGGAAACTTGCTAGCTTATTTCAAATATTCAAAGAATGATTGCCTAGGTCCTTTGACTCAAATTCACGGATTCCACGTATCCATGTTGTGTCACTGTTCGCTTCACAACGTGAATCTCGGAGTTTGTCAAGATGCTACAGGATCAACTTTGAGCCTCTGCCAGCAAAAGATTTCGGCTTTGGTTCCAGCTAGAAAGGATGACTGCTAGAAGTGTGATGGTGGTAAGAATGTATTTTTTCTCTCAAATCAACGAAGGATGTACCTGGTTCAGAAAGGCTTTTTCGGCAACCCGGAGACCCTGTCGTTTGCAAAGCTTTTGGTTGTGGCCTACAGAGACTTCAAAGCTTTTCAGAAAGCTTCCAAAATTATCTGTTCGCAAACCAAGTTCATCCCAAATTTCGTGACTAGGCTCCTGTTCAGTCTTAAAAGGGAGGATATCCCGGATTCTAGATCGGAAGGTCGCACATAGGCTTTGGGGTGCAGGGTTCTGCCTTTAGTACATTCTAGGATTTTCTTGCTATACAAGTTAAAGGGGTTTCCAGCTTGCTAATGTAAGTCAAGGTGTACAAGGAAGAAGGGGGTGCCAAGATCGCTCACAAAGGGTACAATGGCAGAGTTATTGCCATATGGCTGGGAGATTGCATGGAAAGAGCAATCTCTCACAGAATTTCTCCTGACCGCGATTTCGGAAAGTGGCTAGATGAACATGGTGGGTGGCCAGGTCTTGATGATGAAATGCTGGCCCCTACAGCTGTTGCCATGCAGCTTCTCTTAATTAATTTCTTGTTTATTGTGCTAAGAATTTCTGAAAGAAGCTTTCCGCTAATCCAAATTTCTTGGCTAACGCGGCCCAAATATCTCAGGATATCCCTGCGCAAATGGTTCCATGCCGTCGAAACCCACGGGAGATATTTGCTTCCAGCCTTGTTCAGAACAAAGCTTGTTTCTAACTAGTTAAGCTGGGGACTAGGGAGTATTTTTGCTGTATGACAAGCAAGAATCTTTAAGGACCCAAGCAGCTGCTGACAAGATCTACACGTACGGCATGCGCTACTTGCGATATCATGTGCTTCTTTGTAAGTTGTCAATGAGGCCTGCGTGTCAAATGCATTAAGGTTTAAGGGGTTTAGGGTTTAGGGTTATAAAGGCTAAGGGTTAAGGGTTAGGCTTTGGCCTCGTCAGGCGGATGAAGCTCTGGTGGCAGGTTCGCCCCAAGATACATGTGCCTTGTCTACTTGTGGGTTGCTTCTATTGAACCCTGTATGTTGTGAGATATGCACAAACTAAGGGGATGCACCATCAACTGAAAGATACGAAGCGCCGCAGCTGCTAGTCCTACATTATAATTTGGAGTTTCAAGCTTGTTTTTCACAGGTGCCATTAGGGAAACATGCAAAAGCCAAGGACTGAATTCACGATTCTTTCACACGTTCAGAGAGGAAGATTGTATGAAATGGTTGAAAAGCTGCCTGGATTCAACTTAGTTCTCGGTGTTGTGGGGGCACATGACAAATTGAACATAGCCGAGTGAAACTAAGGTTGTGCACAACGTTCTGATTCCAGCAGGTTCGAGCGTCATATCACTATGCTGGCGCGGTACCGGCTACTTTCTGTAAAGAAGCTCCGAAGAATGGGAGCACTGAACACATCGGCAAAGAAGCGCGAAAGCAGCCGCAGGTGAGAAACAGTTTGCATGCTGGATTTGATTTCCCAATCATGCTTTCGACCTACATATTTCCTTCAGAAGTACTGGAAACATGAGCCCAGTGAAATGGGTGCTTTAAGTGAAATACGTACTTAACCAAGAAGCATCCGTTAAACCTAGCCTTTGGAAGCCTAGGGTATATATGTATGATACGGGTTGTCTAGGAGAGGTTATTTCAGGATTATATAAGGATTATTTTATGGGGGCAATATACGGGTTGTATAGGGAGTACCTAGGCATGATAGGGAAAATAAAGGGGTTATGTATGGGTTATATGAGAGCTGCATGGGGTTATATAGGGCTTATATAGGAGATGTCCTCAATATTGACCACATTATAATGCAGTAGTTTCCGCTTTCATTTCCATTATGCCTATGTGATCCCTATATCATATAGATCCCAAGTTTGAGACATTTCCTTGGGAAAATTGCCTCATAGGTTCTGGGCTTGTAGCCGCCGAGCGTGAACGCGCCCATGCTCCATTCGGAGAACCTTAGCTGCAATGCAGCTGCCTGTGGTCTTTCTCTAGCTGCTCATACCCCGACGCTGGTATCAGCAGCAAGCGGGAGCGAAGGAGTAGGATGAGGACGAGGACGAGGAGGAGGATGAGGAGGAGGCAGGAGCGAAGAGGTACAGCAGCACCAGCAGCAGCAGCAGCACCAGCAGCAGCAGCAGCAGCAGCAGCAGCAGCAGCAGCAGGAGCCATTGCTTCCTTCTGCAAGAGCACTAAGTCAGCTGAGTAGTGAAGTGATTGCGCCAACTTGCCATCTGACAGTGAGCTTGGAGGTGTGTCACTTGCAGGTGAAGATGCCAGCTGATGCGCTCGACAAAGCCAAATATCTGCCGATTTTGGAGGCCGGTTGCCGGATTCCTTACTTGAACAACCCCACAAGGCATATCAACACCTACAGGGTGAGCATGTCGCAACTTTTACGTAAAACCAGCATTGGGATATTCCTTTCGAAAACTCATATTTGGCTGGCATGCCCTTCCTGATCGGTTGAAACGGAGGCCTGGGCGTCGATCCTGATGGAAGGTCCAAGTCAACAGGGATTCTTCTCCCATCTTCCCAACCGGACACTGATCATTCAAAACCTCTACACCCATTTATCAGAAATGGGCTATAGAGCATGTTGAAGCTCATGTCAAACAATTGCTCGCAGCGTCATTAGCTCCTCCATGAACGTGATAAGATCATCAGCATCGTTCGTGCCCATGGTCACCTGTCAGGTCCAATCTAGGGCGAGCATTGTCCTTTTGGAAGTTTGGACACAGCATTCGGGTAAGGTTGACAGCTACGGCTAATAGCTTGCAGAAGTCGCAATTTTGTCCTTCCGGGTTGACGTCAGCTGCGGCTGTAGCATACTTGTATGATCATCTTTACTATCTATCGTCAAGCAATGTCATGCAGGCTCTCTCGGTCCGAGGCTTCAGCCGCGCTACTGCCCAGATGGCAGCATACAGCAGCAGGTCGAAACACAAGAACTTCCCACAGGCGTAGGCGTAGGAAAATTTCCCAAACAAACCATCAAATACTGAAATCAAGCTAGCTCAGGGAGCAAGCGCACGCACTGTTGGGTTCACAAACCAACGCTTGAAAGTATCCGGGCCACCTGCAAAAGGCGAAGGTCCGACCCTAGAATGTGAATTGGACACCACAGGTTCCATGCAATCTCAAAGGCTGCCAACAAAAGGTTTTGACCCGTGAAAAACCTTAGCTGCAATGAAAGTGCAAAGGACTATAATCTGCTGGGCCTCGGTAAGCCAAAGCTTCTTCTTCGTCCTGCCAGAGGTGCCCTGGAAATCCTCCAGAAAGACCTGTCGTTGCGACTGGGGCGTGTGTGGACTGACCTCACATCATCGAATCTCTGCATCAGATATGGAAGACCTCGTAGTGCCTCAACAGTGCACGTGCCCTATGTATCTATGGCAAAGCTGCGGGTCACGTAGCGCATTCCTTACAAAATCCAGTGACAATTGGCAAGAACTGCGGGAACACAAAAGCGCATCATCGCTAGCTTGCTCGTCTCAAAGTGGATTGTAAATGATAGTCACAGCAACCCGAAGACGGCACCCTTCCTATGGGGTGCACTTGCCATTCCGCCCCAAATCTCACATAGTAACCGATGAGCTGGTTTTGGAGCTTTTGAAGAACTGCTTGCCTGGTGATACGAATGGAGCTTGTCCTTGATCTCTTGGGCAGATCCTTGGGTCCGCGTGGTTACCTATTTGACTGCTCTATCCCCGCAAAGACCTGGTTTGACAGCAGATTAGTTGTCCTACCGGGAGTTCATCGCGCGCCCGCTTACTGCGCAGAAAGACGGTCAACACCAGTCCTTAATTCCTAAGGACTGTCTGTGCTCCGCACCAGGCTCAGTACATCAGACTTTCTATACAGAATTCGAAACACACAAGGCTTCAAAATAGCTTTGGCGCCCAAGCATCGGCCGTAGGCGTGGATGGGCAGTGCTTCTATAACATCCTGGGATGCCCAGCGTCTGCAACCCGCAGTGTCCAGGCTCGACCAACTACTGCACTGACAATAAGGCACCTAATCTGTTCATTGTGAATCATACAGCGGAAGAAACAGCCTTGTACAACAAAACGACTTCCAAGCCGTCCGCCAAGCTCAACTCAACTCCTAGCCATCGAACACACCAGAAGTAGCGAATCGCCTTCTTTTACGGGTTCCAAGAGCACGCGTCTAAAGAAGTGTGCAATTCGGAATACAGGTCGATGTGCCACAACTCACACACCAGCTCGCCCTATGCCATGGCTGACTTCAGACCCTCTCTGACGACAGGCTGCCCAACAGTTCGTCGCCTTCCCCACAAGGCTCGTGCACTGCAGCGTCCTTGGCTCTTGAGGGATGTCAACGTCGGAAAACTGTTCTCTGGATGATTTCTCCCGGCCTCTAGCATTGGCTGCGAATGTTGTGCAAGACAGGTTTGAAGTTCTGGCTCTGCGCCGCACAAGTAAGGCCTCAATAGACTTCAGCAGGCAGGGGAGCCAATCTAAATTGCAATGTGAGTCGATTCTGAGTGGATCAAACCTTTACTGAAACATATCCGTAGCTCAGGTGATCAGCATGTGGTCGAAAGGAAACGACAGCAGACGTTCTAAACAGTGGAGCACGACAGGCGCGATCATAAACGAACCATGTATAGATGTGTTATGGGAAAATATTATATGTATACATATATATATATGTATATATATATAACTATAAGTGTATATAAAGATTAGACCCTTATTCCCTACTAAGACCTGTAAGTTTAGGTGTTGGCAGCAGCCAAGTATCAGTGCTTTGGCCTTGAAGGCTTTCAGCCACCCACGACAGAACTTCGTGGCGTTTGGCAATGCCTGGGCTGAATCTCCAAGTTGTAGCTTTGTGGGGGGATATAGGGATTATATAGGGAATATATGGCATAGATGTTTAGGGGTTTTGTAGGGAATAGATTATATTATATAGGGGTTATATAGGGAATATATGATCCTGGGAATACATAATATTGGGCTTATATGGGGATAATGGAAAAGAAAATGGAAACTACCATTGCAACACTGTTCAGGAAGCACAACTTAGTCCACCACGAAGTCATACGATGAGATATGGGCAAGGGATTAAAGACGTGTGCCTTCATCACGCCATCTGGTTTTCATACCCATGCCAACTGAGACTGGCAGCAGCCCAAGATCGTGCTTATCACATGATCCCCCTGCATACCCCACCAATGCTACAGTATCATTATGCCCAGTATTGAAAGGCATGCCAAGAAGGAAGCAGGAAATATTACAAATCCTGTATGCAGGCACATGCTCCCTGACACAGGCCCAGTGACGGGATCCTTACTGCAGTCATCTTGCGGAAGTGCCGCCTTCTTGCATCATGCCAGAGGTATAAGAATCGTATGAGGGAAGTAATCATGATCGTGGAGGGTTGTAGGTACCACTCCTAATCGCCATCTTGCACGTGACGTTATGTCACAATAGCCTTGCCTGAGACTGAGACATGGCTTCCAAGAGTAGACGTGCAATCGATGCAAACACACAGCGGCCAATGTATGGTAACCCTACCACTACATCCCAGCACAACGGAGTCTTGGCCTGGGCCATCGCTGGCGCAGCGATCTTCCGCACAGATCCTGGAGTTGCGCGTAACCGGAAGTCAGGAATTCGCAAACTGAACAGTTTGTGCTTCTTGGGAAGGCCTCTTATCTGGCACCTTCAGTCAGTGCAACCATCCTTCGAGCACTCCTGGCCTAAAGGTGCCTCTAATTACAAGTGAAACCCATGCCACTGATGTTCTCGTTATTATACTATAGTATTTATTATAGTACATTATAGTGTATATTGTAGTACATTATAGTCAATTATAACATATTATAGTACATTCTAGTACATATTACGGTAGCAGTTGCCCTTTCTTCGCTCTCATCAGCATCACCTGTAGTGGCTTATGCCCTCTCCTGTACTTGAAAGCCTAGGCCTGCCACACGCTAAACGAGGAATAACTGTGGTTCATCCCAAGTCCTATTTACTTAGATGCACCTCTTCCAGGTCAGGATGTTCTGAATTACGTGAACATTGCAACCAAACCTACTAGGCCCCAGACAGGGTACCCTGCCCAAATCGCAGATTGAAACTGGAATCCTACCCACCAGCTTGAGGAGTCCCTCCCTCTTTTGCTGTATGCGCATGGCCTCCGCTTTCTTTCGCGACCTGACACAGCTTGGCCAATCCAGCCACTTGAGAGCCAGAGAGAGAAGGATCTAGGGAATGCGCTGGGATCAATGACAAGAGAGTTCACGGGTTGCACACTGAGGATTCTTCCTAATTCTCGTAATACTACAATGATGTGGAGGGACAGCCAGCGCATGTAGCGCCCTGGCAACTAGCATATGTAGAAACTCAAGGCCCTCGTGGTGAATTGCCCTGAGATACTCCCATGATAGCCATACTGCTACAGTCCACACAACCCACAAAAGCTAGTCACCTCACTGTGTTCTGTAAAATCTCTGCTTGGGGTTGGAAATCGGTCTACCTACTTGGTGGACTCTGAGTTTTCGGTATCTTCAGGGACCAAGGTATGCCATATGGAGGGCCATCGCTGCAGAACTCCGACCCTTACAAGATCACAAAGACTAAGCCTCCAGCACTGTAGTAGTCCCGGAATCCAAAACGCGTGTTTGCACCCAGAATCATAAATCCCACCCTGAACCCTATATGCCCGTTGCCAGAAACACGCAAATCTTGGACACCCCAGCCTGAAAAACCCTAAACCGTCTTCACATGAGCTATAGTCTAAACCCCTAGTATCCCCCTTAATAACCCCCAATAGTACTCCCCCATAAAATCCCCTATATAACCTCCTTTAAGGAGTTTAGACTATAGCTCACATCTGCCCCACTGGGTTCCCAACACTTGCCAGCTTCGCCCTGAGCGAAGCCAAAGGCCACCGACCAAGCCATGCAAAGAAAATGAGTATAACCGAAATATGTACCTATTCTGCATGATATAATAATTTCCATTTTCCATTCTCCCTATAGCTTAGGATGTGCGGTTGGAGGCCTAGTGCCAAACACAGGGGATGTAGTAATTACTGGACAACATTGCAGCAACAAAAAACTATGCCAAGCATGCAAGTCAAAACCAAGATGACAATTCTAACGACGATCGGTGACACGTAAGCAACACAGATTTGGCTCTCTCTCTGTCTCTCCCTCCCTCCCCTTCTTTCTTCTACTGGCCCTGTGAGTGTCCGGGGACACCCACTGGGGTTACACCCCATCTTGTTCTTCTTCACCCCATCTCTCCCTCTCTCTCTCTGTCTCTATCTCTTCTTCTTTATATTTCTTCTGGTTGCCGGGGGCACACCCCCAGCGGCGAGGCTAAGTCTGGTTTCGAGTCTGCACCCGGGCTCTCTCTCTCTCTCATTTTCTCTCTCTGTCCTGCATTCTGCAGATGGAAAGGCTTCCTTGATGGCAGCCATGAGCTCCCCATGGGAAAAACAGCAACAATGGGTAAACTTAGTACGACCATTATTGCAGCGAGTCCCAGAAAGCTGCATGAAGATAACAGACCGGTCATTGTAGCAGCCAAGTGCCTCCAAGCTGCACTAACGACTGCCATGCCAGCGCTGCCTTTACGGGGTCGAACAGGCTGGCAAAACCAGCACCTGAATGGATTTTGGTGTCTCTTGGATTACACTCCATGCAACTCATGCAACTGAAGTGGGGGCTGCCATCAAGCCCCGGACATCTTAGACTATTTCGGAAAATGGTTTTGGGAAGGCAAGGGCCAAGCGGATCATCAACTGATCCTATATGAGCTCGAGGGCTTGAGCCATGCCAACAAACACGAGCTTTGAGTGGGGGCCAGGCTTGGGGGAACAGCCAGCAGACTCATGTCGATGCGATCAGCATCGTCTCCGAATCGCTAGCAAGATGATGATGCCTTAGAAGTGTCGTGCCTCCTCTGCGGATGAATCATGAGGATCCTTTCAGGAGACCCAAGTAGCGCGACAAGAGCAGAGGAAGTACAGGTAGCAGGCAATTTAGGGAAGTTTTGTCTGGCGCGCTCCAGCAGGGTGTCAAATGCATCTACGTGGGTCAAAACCTGAAACACCTGTTAGGTTCTTGATCGAATCTTCACAGTGTGATGTTTGCCGGAGTTTTGTCGATCCTGATCCCACAGCCTTCAAGGGCTTCCACTTCCCCTGCAAGGCCCGGACTTGTCGCAGGTCTATAATCTTTTTCACCTCAGCAAGCCGCTGCTGCACCGACGCATGTCGGAGAAACTTTAATGGGCACATGTTCGGCGGCAAGCTGTCATGATGGACAGGCAGAACAACTCCTTGCGTGAAACGTGTGACATGATCCCCTGGACATCGCTGCACCGTTGACTGACCAGCTGCAATGCCCTGCTAGCATGGTTTGCCGTGCAACGGGCAGTGTCAGCAAAAACAGCGCCCCTCAAGCAGCAAAAGGACAAGTTCAATTTCAAACCATATTAAATGAAGCGTAAGCGAAATGCTCAAAATGAATTGTGTGTGCGATAATTTCTCAGCAGTATGTCACAACCCGCATGTTTTTAGGCCGAGCAGCCGCAGCCAAAGGTGCCAAACGTTGTCTCCCCTGCGCAGGCAGGGCCGTACCTGCTACCGGGGCTTGGGCTGGAACGCATCTTACGATGTCTTACATAGTTGTGCAGGTACACATGCTCACATGCACTATTCCTTGCTCGCACTGTACTACACTGTGCTTGGCACGGCAATGCAATTTGCCACCCGACAAAAAGACAAGCACCTTGGACAAACCGGCTCATTCTACCGGGGTTCCGAAAATCCCTTAATCTATCTTGAGGCCGGGAGTCATGGCCACATGCATCAGCATCATGTGCGCACTGGTCTGGCTCGTTATAACCTGAGTAGAGCTGTTTTTGGAGAAGTCTTTATAACAAAGACACTTAGCGAAGCCCTGTACTCATGGCGCGACTAGTGCATGGCGGGACCAATGCTGGACGTCGCAGCTGCCGTGTTCCTCGAATCGCACTTTGAGATTCGTCAAGATGGCTATGCCATGCAGCTTCCTTCAGCAGTCGGGCATTGTCAGAGTTTCTGGGGTTACTTTCGGTCTCGTCTTGGCGCAAGAGTTGTTTTCGTGACGGCTGCTATGACAGCCGCGCCATGTATACTCTGTCAGACCCAGGACTGCATCTTTGCCAGCACCATCCAAAAGCACACCGAATAAACAGGTCCACCTGAAACATGCTCCGCTCATGTGGATGATCAAGCACGGCTGCCGTGGTACTGGCTCATAGCCAAGAGTTTGAAGCTGGCAAGGCAGCTGAAGGATGGAAGCCTTCTAATCTTATCTGAAAAATCTAGATGAGCTGCGCGGACAATGGGGAATCATTTCTTGCCCCGATCATAATCCGTGACATCAATGCAGAGCTGGCAAAGATCTGCCAAGGAACCCATCACGAAATCGCTTCCGAGATGGAAGAAACCTCACAGGATCTGGGCGTCTGCTACGTCCACTGAACCTGCTGATGGCATTTGTTTTTAAACGGTAGCTGTTCATCTCTTCTATAGCTCTTGTGCTAGCAGAATTTTGCCCTCTGCAGGATCCTCATGTCGAGCCCTGAAGTGCATTGACGTGGAGTGCCTTCTCGCCTGCCTGCAGGGGCCTGAGTCAACATAGGCTTGCCCACCGCTCAAAAGGCCTCACAATCGACTCCCGTTTATGGGGCATCCGCTGGCAAATCTCTCGGATGGCACTGCATGCTGTTGTGCCGGGCAGCTGTAATCCTTCGGCATTGTCGTTCCCCAGATCATTGGGGTGAACGTCTGCTTGGCCTTTCTCACCACCTGCGTCCAGCACATTGAGAATGCCCATTGATGCCTCAATGATTTCCTCTACTAGGTGCTGCGTGCTAGTGCCAAAACAGCAGTGGGTACGAGACTGTCACTGTGCAAGCACGTGCATTGAAGCATCTGATGTGGCCGTCGTCTCACAAGGTCACTGGAGAATGGTAGGACCTCTTAGGATGCCTGGCTGCTTGCCAGGAAGCCTGCACCCCCACAAACCAATTGCTAGATATTGATAGTTCTCATCAGCAAGACATGTGGGAATCTCTAATACCCTCTCCGGGCCACCTGCGGCGGGAGGTGGCTGTGGTCAATTCGCATATCCTGAAGCTTGTACCATTGAAGGAGGATGCCATGCCAAAAGTCTGTGAAGGGAGCATGAAGATATGGAAGCCACAAGGGGAAGCCAGCAACGAGAGAGACAGAGCACAGAGATAGAGAGAGCGAAAGCGGGAGGTAAGCAAAAGAGGGATAACTACTACTCTTCATTGATTAATACTAATACCAGCATTGTTACTATTATTATTACTATT